GTCATATTCTGTGACCATGTACATCAGTCAACATGTTTTAGTTGTATTTTATTTTTAATTTTTTGCATGTGTCTTCAGCCTCTGATCCAAAGGCTACACATTTGGCGTAACATGTTCTTCTTTGTGCCCATGTTCAGCCAGGTTCTGTTGTAGAACCGCAACAGCGCCCCCTCTGGTCACAATATATGGTGTTAACACCGGCACAAGGTTTATCCCATAYGTCTCACTCTGGAATCTTCCTCAGCGCCATCTCCGTGGAGCTGTACTACATCTTTGCCACGGTGTGGGGCAGGGAGCACTACACCCTGTACGGCATCCTGCTGTGCGTCTACGCCATCCTGCTGTCGGTGGGTGCCTGCATCTCGGTGGCGCTGACCTACTTCCTGCTGTCGGGCGAGGACTACAGGTGGTGGTGGCGCAGCGTGCTGAGCACGGGCTCCACCGGCCTCTTCATCTTCGTCTACTCCGTCTTCTACTACCGCAACCGCTCGTCCATGAGCGGCGCCGTGCAGAGCACAGAGTTCTTCGGCTACTCGCTGCTGACGGCGCTCGTCTTCTCGCTGATGCTGGGCAGCGTGTCGTTCTGGGCCTCGCTGGCGTTCATCCGCTACATCTACCGCAGCCTGAAGATGGATTAAAACACGRGCCGGGCGAGGAGTTCTGCGCGGCCTTGAACTTTATTATAATAAACTGCAGCAGAAATCCTCGGCTGACGGAGAGAACGCTGGTGAACGAGTGGACAAATGAAGGGATACGTTGGGGTTTCTTATAAATTTAGTCAAATTAGTTATTTTGGTGCGTTGATTGATTTAAAGTAAAGATTTAGTTTCAATCATACGATGCAGTTCACAGCATCGTCTGTTACGGTAAGCGTTAAAAGTGGAGGACGGGCGGGAGTGAGTTTTATTTTAGAGCTACAATTCAATAGTCTGAAACCCCTCCTACAGAGAACCACCTGTTCAGGTGTGACGTTTATTAAATAAATGGTTGTTTTGCACTGAGTGTGAARCTCTCCCCGTCCCTCCGCTGGACGAGGCCTTGCAGTTTAAAGTTTTATGTAAAACGTTGGTGACGGGAGCAATATCTGTGTATTCTGCCATCGACTGTGGTTCTGATGTAAATAGTCTTTTCAATAAAGCTCTTTTTAATATGCAGACGCCAGGAAGAGAGCCTGAAGTGGTTGCAATAGATTGGTTTATTTAGAACAGGAAGGAGATTAAGCAGCATCAAGTTGGCAAATAAAACCCTTATATGAAAGTTAAATTTAAGTGTCTGTGACATGCATGTACTTCAAATCCAAAAAGTCAAAGAAAACATCTTTATATTTAAGAAAAAATGCCCTAATGCACAATTTAACCCGTTTTGTCATAACTGGCCTATTTTCTTTTGAATTAGCCTCAGCTAAAGTAAAACAGGAAGTGACATCAAAGGGGAAATCATTAAAATAAAATCTTTGGTCTGTTTATTAAAACAGTATAATTTAAACTTTAACAGACTCAAAATAATGTAAATAAACAGATTCTTTAGTCAGTTTTAGCAATGCTGTTTACATGCAGACGTTCCCCTTTGACATCACTTCCCGTTTCTTCACATGCAAATATCTCAACTGTTCGTCTCAGAGCCATGACATTTGTTTTGCAGAATTCATGTTTATGTCAAAAATTGTCACAGGCACTTTAAACGCCACGATGACTTAAAGTTCGGATCAAACTAAACCTGCAGCTTTTTTAGTTCTTGAATACAACATGATTTCACACGATGATGAAAACTTTAATTTTTAAAACGCCACACATGAAGGCATAAAAACAGGCAGCAGTGCAAAATTCCAAACTGAACATTTGCATCTGCTAATAAAAACCACTGAGATACAAAAAGCATCTAAAGAAACAAYAGCTGCAAACAAATGATAAAACTTTTAACAGAACTTGTTTTACGGTTAACCCGTTCATCAGCTACAGGTTGACGTTTGGCGCCATGGATGGGTTCTGCATGCAAACCGGCTCCTCGCCGCTGGTTTCGAGGTTGTTTGAGACGAACATGTTGGGCATGTACTCGCAGGGAGGCACGGAGCACCCGGCGGCCTGCGGCGAGCTCGACAGCCAGCGTGGGAAACCGGCAGAACCRGAACCCATGTAGTACGCCACCTGCTGGTTGTAGTGCTCCCTGACGTGAGGCCGCCCCTCACCTGGGTACTGAAACAGAAATAAAATGGTTCAAATTAGGGCTGGGTTAAAAGAATCGATTTAATCGATCTGGATCGATTCTCGTTTAAATTTGGGAAAATAGATTCATAAGTCATGAGGTCGATCCCTCCCCCACCCCCCCGTGGGTGTTGTGTGCGATGAAGCTGCACGTTTCCATGTTGTGTGTCACTTCTGGCTTGCCGTAGGTTTACATCCAGTTGACGGTCCGTGCTAACGTTAGCTCCTGACAACAAGTTGTCTGGGGCAAAACAAAAGAAAGTATTCACTAAATTTACAGCTGATTCTGAACTTAAAGACCGAGGCCAGGACAACTTTTGTTTGCAAAGATTTGCGCTCGGGCGCGGTAGCTGGAAACAAAGCTTCGAGCGGCTCAAACCAAAACTACGATATGTAAACATCTGAAATAGGGCTGGGCGGTATGACCTCAAATTCATATCACGGTATAAACTGAACCCCTTCATGGTAACGGTATATATCGCGGTAGAAAACTACATAAAAAGTAAAGATAAATGTAATTTTTAGAGCCTTTTTTTTTGCAGAAAACTAATCTTAATCAAACCCAGCATTTTTGCTTTAATATCAACCTGTCATACAATGAGCTTCTGCCTGCTGAACTTAGCTGCTGCTCTGCTGCGCACTCATCTTCATCATCAGAGCAGAAGCCGACTTTACATTAGCAAGATGGATTTATGACCGAACGAACGTCCACGTCTTTTATCATCTCTGTGGGTAACAATACATGAAAAAAGTTTTTTCTCCGACAACTTGGGGGTGAAAAACTTATTAAAGCTTCGCTCTGTGCGACGTGGAGGGAGGAAATGAGCCAGACGTAACTTTTCGACAGCAGGAGGGGGAAATTTTGAGGATTTATCCTCTTTTAAGCGTTTTAAAAACACTATAATTTCTTCGTTTTATTTCAAACTCCTCCAGCTCAGTTGTCTCTGCGCTCGCAGCCCTGTTCACACAGGTGCGATGACGTAACGACAGGACGGTAGAGGATAAATTTCTACCGTGCAACCCTAATCTGAAACTGTTCTCTGCGTGTATAAATGTGTGAAAGATGACAGTATAAGAAAATAGTTTAGTTTTGTTACCAATATTTTTAAATTTAAAGAAACATTTTAATGTAATTCACAGTGATGGAATGTTTTAGCTGTAGGGCTGTCACGATTAATCGATGACTCATCGATTATTAAAATAATCGATGACTAATTTAATAATCAATTAATCGTTTTCTTTTTGTTGTTGTTCTTGACTTTGTTTTTCTCTCCAAACTGCTTTGACACCTTCCACTGCCACGTCTACCTTTCTGTCCTTGACACACATGCACAGTAGTGGTAACTGGGGTAGGCCGTGGACGTCACAAGACATTATACAGACAGGCTCTGGTATCATGGCTACCTGACAACAGAGCTCAAAGTGTGGGATCATTTTAAGAAAATGAAAGAGAAACCTGTGTAATATCTGTAAGGCAGAACTTGCCGAACTAGCTAAACTCTAACGAAGGTTATATAATAGCAGCTACATTCTGACGTGATAAGCTGTATGTTTTATATTCAATTCAAATTCAAACGATTCAAATCTTTTGTGGCAGCCCTATTTAGCTGAAGTACTTTTTCCCCCTTCTTTTTAACAAGTTTTATTGAACAGAGTAACAGAAACGTTACAAATATACAGTTTTCCTACCCTCAAGAGTGGGCAGAAGTAAACACTTATATTATCCCACCTCTTCTCCTGTAACCTTATTCCATCAATTCTTAATGATCAAGAAAATTATTCTTAGTTTCTTAACTAATGTATCAACAACACTTTCTCTAGAAATTCCTTTTTAGTTCAAACCCTTTAATCTTGAAACAAAACTGTCTCAAGTTTCAAACTCCAATTTACAAGTTTGCCCTTAGTGTTTATAACTTTACCAACACACCAAGTTAGAATTAGTTTCTTTGAGAATGTCTTACATATCAAAGTAAATGTGTTACTGCATGATATCCTTAACTAATTTAAAAATCAAACTGAATCGTGAATCGATACCCAGCCCTAGAATATTGATCTACGTACAGGTGAGGCCATGTTGGAGGCGTCGTTATAGAAGGCGGAACGCTCCAACGCCCAGCTGGTGTCTCGCTGACATTTCCTGAGCTTCATCCTGCGGTTCTGAAACCAGGTCTTCACCTGCAGAGGAAAGTCTCAGCCGTTTCAATCGTACAGTTATCCATGTCTGTGCCGAGCGTCCCCATGCTCACCTGTTTATACGTCACTCCGATCTGCTCGGCCAGCTTCTTCATCTCAGAGGGGGGGAGGTACTTCTGGGCGTTGAAGCGTTTGCAGAGGGTCTGCAGCTGACTCTGGGTGAAGGTTGTGCGGACGTTTGGTTTACAGGATGGCTCTTCAGCGGCGGTGACAGTTTTAGAGGCAGTCGGGGGCGCGTTGGGAGGGGTGGGGGAAGCGGTAAGAGGCCGAGGCTCCTCTGCAACGGAGCTGGAAACCTCTTCTCTGCCGCCCGGGCTTCTGACGGCGACCTCCAGGCAGGCCTCTTTCTCAGCCCAGACCGAGTCCGCCTGGGGAAGACTTCCCTCACGACTGCTGACAGAACTCCAGGAATCTGAATAAAAACACAAAATAATGAAAAAACAACTTTCATTCAGGAAAGTCACTTTTCCCCCCCCAAACTTGAATGAAATTAATTTACAAGCTATTTCAGTGTCAAAGTATAAACATTTACTGTAGCTATGAGCCATTTCCTTCAGTTCGCTTTTCAAAGGGATTCATGATTAGTTGTAACTAGGATTGGGCAATATTGGTAAAAAATTAATCACAGTTAATTGTGGTATTTAGCAGATAATTAATCCCCTGGAGATCCTTATTTCGTAGTCACATGACCAATTTAGTGGGAAAGATTTGCTCTTTGTAAATTGTTCCAAATTGTGTAAAAAAAAATACAGATTTCAGGCTATACATCAGGGGTGCCCAAACATTTTCCCAGAGGGGGCCAAAATGAAAATCTATCTACGGCTGCGGGCCAAATGCAGTTATATAATTCATGGAATACAAATGCTTTTTAAAGTCCTTTATTTTAAATGATTTAAGCTATGCAATGGCCCTCTTTTGTTTTAGTCAGTGCACTTGGAGAAAGTCTGCCATACGCTCAAGTAACAAAGGCTCATGGGACATTTCATAAATTGATAAAATATGAGTTTTTGTGGCCTTATAAAGTGTGCAACTCTACATGTGGGGTTAAATCTGATCTAAATATGTCTTGTTGTCATTTCTTGTTTCATGTTTAACCCTATTAAATCAAAGATAAAGTCAGCACCATGACTGAAAACTACTTTCACTACAGCCCTTTTATATAGTCATTTGACCAATGGAAACACTGTGTTTCTACCTATAGGAGAACAGTTTACAACCTTGTAACTTTGGCAACTGTTGGTGGGCCAAATCAAATGGCTTGGCGGGCCAAATTTGGCCCGCGGGCCCCACTTTGGGCTCCTCTGCTATACATCATATTTTCAATTGTGTTGATAAATAAATAAATAAATTACAGAACTTTATTTTTAATGTTCGTCATATTTGAAGCGGAGAGGAGCGCCGAGCGGACTGACCGGAGTAATCCAGTCAGTCTGCCTGGTGGCATTAATCATATTAAATCGTCAAGTGACAAAAACTAATCGATTAATGTTTTTCTGACGATTAATTGCACATGATACGATTATGCCCAACCCTAGTTGTAACATTAGCCTTTATTTGATACACATTTATTTTAACTGTAAAATAAAGACTGTAAAAACACTGTAGGCTGTTTAGATTTGTAAACTTTTTAAAATATATTTTAATACGGATGGAGCCATTTTATTTACATGCAAAGCATTCTGGGTAAATGATGTGGATAGGTCCTCTGTGTGAGCTATATCCACCCTGAAGGTTAATCTTGGACAATATCTGATGATCGACTCTTTTAAATGAAACCAGAGAGCGTTGACAGAGAGGAGAAGGTAGAAATGACTCAGCCTGGAAATGAAAATATGGATGGAGGACAACAGAGCTGCTTCATGGAAGAACAACCTCAGCTTAGCCTGTTAGCCTTTGCACTAGCGCCAATGCTATATTGCCTTATATGTATTAGCTTGGTGCTAGCGCGACAAACTAACAAGCTAAACTGAGGTCCTCCATCCATATTTTCAGTTCCAGGCTGAGTCATTTCTACCTTCTCCTCTCTGTCAACGCTCTCTGGTTTCATTTAAAAGAGTCGATCATCAGATATTGTCCAAGATTAACCTTCAGGGTGGATATAGCTCATTCACACCGAGGACCTATCCACGTCATTTACCCAGAATGCTGTGTGTGTAAATAAAATGGCCCTGTCTGTGTAATATATTTTTAAACATTTAGTTTAAAAATTATAAAAACTAAACACTCTACAGTAATTTTACGGTCTTTATTTTAAATATATGTTTATCAAATAAAGTCTAATGTTACAACTAATCATGGATCCCTTTAATTTAAAGTTCAAAGCTTTGAACTTTTAACTAAAATTATATATCTTTATAATCCAGGTAGAAAAAAATAAAATAAAAAAAGTTGTTTAGAGAAGACTGATTCAACTTTTAAGATTTAACTTTTAGAAAAAAGATGCAATAAATTAAAAACATTACGGCATTTAAGACTTTGTTTACACTAGTTATTTATGTTTTACTTTTTATGCAATTTTCAAATTCTACCACGAGATGGCGCTGCGACAAACGCTTCGTGGCGCCATCTTTGAAAAATCATCAAAACCAAGATGGACCGGAAGTGAACAAACTTATTCTGCTCCTGCAGCAAATAGCCTTTTTAAGACAACCTTCAGGACATGGCGGCGTTCAGGGTTTTAAATTTAGCTCAAACTAAATTTTAACMAAAATAAAAACTCTTAAGTCGATATGTGACGTTTGCGAACACCACCGCTAGATGTCGCTGTTCGTTTAGGTTATAAACTTGTTTAGTGAGTCTGCCGCCATATTTGACCCTAAATCCAAGATGGACCAGAACTGGGCTTCTGCTGCAAAACTCGAGGAACAGATTTTTGCCATTCTCCAGGGAAATGTAAGGTCTGACTCTACCTCGTGAATTTTAAAGTTAAATTTCCTGACATGTTTTTGTGTTTTACAAGCCCAAGTTTCTGCTAGCTAGCTCGCTAGCTCAGCTACTCACCTGGCGAAGCGTGCGCCTCCGTGTCGCTGTTCGAGCTGCTCCTGGTCCGCGTCTGCTCGGTCCCCGCACCTTCTTGCTGCAGGTGGGTGGCCTGGGTCCCCCCGGCGTTAACAAGTCCCCCCGAGTCCTGGTAGCGATGCTGGGAGCAGGACTCCCCGAACCTGGCGGCGTAAAACGCCTGAGTTGTTCCCGAGTTACAGCCGCGTAAATCCACGTTCTCGTTCGGTCCGGACGGGTTCCCGGGGTTCTGTTCGGACTGGTACACGAAGGCGTAGGCGTGGTACGAAGAAGGGTTGAAATTATAAGTTACCTGCCTCCTCCAGTCTGCCATTTTGATGGGACAGAAGCTGCGCGTCGCGATAAAATTGGATTTTTGAAACAAGAAATGCAGAAACGACTCGGTGTAACGAGGATATACTGTGGTTTAAAATGTTTAAAATTAACCCGCTGCGGACCATTTGTGATGCATGAAAGCACAAACTAGTTAAAGATGAAATAGCAGCTGCGCAACGCGCGTTTTATGCTTTTATAGAAGCGTCCGCGCGCGTGTAGGAGGTGTTCTGATCAGCCAATCACGTCTCAGGACAGGTAGGTTCAGCCTCCTCATTTGTCGCTCGGATTGTTTTCAAATTTGTAAAAAAAAAGTATCAAAACATCAGCAATTTGCCAAACAAAACATCTAAATGTCTGTGGATTTATTTGTGTAAATATATCAAGTTGTTATTTTATCTAGTGGTGCAGAACCAAATACTTAACTTTAGAAACAAAAAGTTTTTAAGAGTTTTGTTTTTCATTTCTTATTTAGTTAAGATGACTTACAGGGTATTGCATCTGTTGGATGGATTTAARTGGATTTGATGAACATTTTCAACTAATTTTATGAGTTAACCTGTGGTGGAGAAAGTACTCAAACACTGTACTTAAGTGAAAGTACAGATAAACAGTCAAAAATGTACTCTAGTAAAAGTAAAAGTACTACATTAACATTTTTACTTGAGTAAAATTAGTACTTGCTTTTAAAACTTTAAAGTATTAAAAGTACAAGTACTTGCTTAATGTATTCCCTAATGGTCTACAAAATGATAAGATGTATTTTTAATACATCAATGAGTCATTTTGAGTCATTTTAGTGAACAATGGTGCATGTTGTTGTGTTTACCCTCTGTGACACTGTTCACACTTGGACTTGTGATTCTGTGCGTCATCACAGATCGTGACAACAGCTACAGAAGCTGTAAATTCACCACCGTCTTTTATCAAATCTCAACAAGTCGTTTTTTTTTGAACCACTTAACGTGAAGAAGTSTTTTAAATAAGGCCACGAGTGGCGCGTTTCCTCCGTGCTGGGATCCAGTTTGGGCGTGCTGCTGATGCTGCTGCTCCAGCAGGTGATGCAGAATCGCTCAGCTTTTTTCTTGAAGGAGGGTCTAATGGTATTTTCCTGCTTTGCACTGGTTCACCGGACCAATTACAGCAGGAGTCTGCAACATTTATGATCAAAAGAGACATTTCTGCTACTTGGCTCACTAATAAAATGAGTTCAGAGCCGCAAAACAAATTACTGTGATTATTAATTCATGGGCCTTTTCCAGGCCTTTTCAGGAAACTTTATGGCCAGTGATGTTATAAAACTAAAATATATTGTGAATTATATTATTTATTATTTTTGCACATCAGGACAAATGAAAATACCATATTCATATAAACAAGAAAAATACTGTATATATATA